CCTGGGGCAAATTACTTAACTTCTCTGAGGATTGTCATACCCATCTGTAGTCAAATAGTAATAAAATCTGTAATCAAATGGTAATAATAATAATAATAATACCTATTTCAGAGTTTATAGTGAGGATTAAATGAACATGTAAAGTACTCAGAAGAGCAACTGGCACAGAGTAAACATGCAGTACATGTTAGCTATTAGTGTCACATTTAATCCTTACAATTCTCAGAGACAGGCTGTTACAAATATCCCTATTTTTCAAATGAGAAAACTAAGGATCCCCATGCTTAGGAACTTGCTAAGAATACCCAGGGCTAAAGAGGGGCAGAACCAAGTCCTGAACCCTTATTTGTCAATCCAATTCATTCATTCATTCAATAAATATTTACTGAGTGCCTGCTATGTGGCAGGCACTGTTCTAAGTACTGGAACTTGAGCATGAACAAAACAGATAATGTTCCTGCATTTGTAATCTTCACAACTGAGGGAGAGGGGTTGTAAATTTAACAAATAAACAAACAAACAAAAATGTATGTAAGACAACAGGTGAAGAGAAACACTAAGATGAACAGAAAGATGGTAATCCAGAGAACACTGTGTGAAGGAGTCAACTCAAGGTTGGGGGGAGGTGGGGTAGCTATTGATAAAAGGGTGATCAGGAAGGTCTCTCTGCCAGGTGGAAATTGAGCAGAGAACTGAAGGAAGTGAGGCATTAAGCTTTGCTGATATCCAGTGGAAGCAAGTTCCAGACAGAAGGAGCCACACGTGGAGTTTCCAATCAATTGTGCTTGGAGTGACAGAGGAAAACCAAGATGGCCCGTGGAGCTGGAGAGTAGAGCATGGAGGAGAATGAAGGAGATGGGATGAGTAGAACTGTGCTTATTCTCTCCCCACCAGGTGGTCCTCACCTCTGTCTTTCCAGGAGAAAGTTTGGGCATACCTGAGGGCTCCTATCCCTCATCACAGCTGGTCATTTATCTCTAGTTCCTGGGTAGTAATTTGGTTGGTTACTACCAAGAACGTCTTCCTAAACCATAGCTGGCTGCATTTAGTAGAAATGTCATCTCCATAGATGCTGCCATATTTCCGGAAGATTCAAGAATTAAAATCCAGTTCCTCAAAGATCATCTGAAAAATCTTACTGCCTACCAACTTCCCCACAACCCAGTGAAGTTTGTACATCTTCCGACAGCTGCTACCTCTTGGCTAAAGGCAGCTGGCTAATGAGCCTCCATCCAACGAGCCCTATTCTTTCATGACCAGTTCACACTGAATGTTGCTAAGAAGCCCCAGACTGTCTCTGGACAAACACAAGTGGGGAAAGGGAACGGGAGGGGGAATATTCACTGGCCTTTAATGCAGAGTGCAGGCGCTTTGACCTCACCTTGACTGGACCTGCATTGGAAGAACTCTCCGTCTCACCAGGTCTGAAATCTTTGGTTCTCGACAGGCTAGGAAAAAAAAAAAAAAAAAAGACAGCAGAGCGCAACCCTTTTTCATATCCACTAGTTACATCATTCGGTTCACATTCATACCTGGCCACCTTTTCTGGATGCCAGGCACACATTCCCAGGCTCTCAGAGGTGAGACATGTCAGCCAAGCTTGAACAGCTCACTGAGAAAAAAAAGCATGCTGCCTTTCCCCTAAGTTGACAGTTCCCTCTAAAGAGCCCAAGTAGAGTAAACCCCTCTGAAAAGCTGCCCCACCTAAGTGATTTGGGACAATGGTGGCTAACAGATTAGGATTATCTGTTCATGTGAATAGTATTAACAATCTTTATCAAAATGGAATAAAAGTCAAAGTGAAGTTTCTAAAATATAGCCTACATAGGGAATTAGAAGGTTCATATTCGAAACCAGACAACAGTGTCAACCACAGATAAGCCTTGGGTAACTGAGTCATCTATGTCCTTTCTCTGCAATTAAGTCCCCTAACAATCACTGGAAGGAAGCTCAAAGCCTAGTTTAATTTTGTTGAAATCTCTCTTTCTTCACAAGTGAAAAGGAATCCTTCCCGTCTCACTTTCCCAATCAAGCAGCCAACATTCATCTAATTAGTAACTTAGGAACTTTGGTTGTACTAATTTGTAAGAGAAGAGTTGACAAAAATCTCCAAGGACATATGTAACACCGTTCCCATACTTAATGAAATAAAAAATCAGAATCTGTGCTGGTGGGGATGAAGGTCGCTTCTGGCTAAAGTCTAAAGTGATTTATTCCTTTCACAAACCATTCTCTTTCATTCCTTTTCCCATGATTCAGGTTGTTGACAAACACCCAGAAGGGAAAGTGGAGGATTGAGGCAATTATCTGGATGATCTAAAACAAGAACATGCTTTTCTTCCCAGTAAACAGCCAGATCATTGTGATCTGTCCCCCAAATAGAGGCGATGTTAACCTGAAGCAGCTAATGAGTCAATTCAATAGGAAACTATGCTTCCCCACGGCCAATGGGTAAGGCTCAAACTTCTCTACACAACATTCTACTTTTCTAGTTCCAACCCACTTATTAAATCTACATCTCAGATTCCCAGATTGCCTGACTTCATTGAGTTTACCATGATTCTTTCACTTCTGTTTACACCTCTTTTCTTTTCCTCTGTCTTCCATCTGGAATATCATCCTAACTCCTCTTCACATCTACAAATCTTGCCCAGCTTTCTAGGCCAGCTTCAATCCTACCTACTTCACGGAAGTATCCCTATTTCAGGAATGTTGATCTCTCCTTTTTCTGAACATACACTATTCATCTATTCCAATAATTGTCCCTTGACTGTTCAAGGTTTTACTGTTTGTTTTCATACATCTTAACACTTCAATGCTCTCCCAACATAAGATGCCAGAGATGATATGTTTATTTGTTCTTTTATTTCTCACACTAATTTAATATCACATAGAGAGCAGATAAACGTAGCTGTGTAATGCTTATAAATTGCCTCAATTCTGTCCTAGGACTTGCATATAAAACTCAGTGCTGTCATCTTTGCTAAAATGCTCTGACAACTACATAACTCTTTTTGATCACGTCAAGATGTTGTGATTAGGGTAAACTGCTCCTCTTGAAGTCCAAAAACAGAAGTGAATGTTTCTAGGAAAGGTTTTCAACCTAAGAGTTAAATATATTTCCAGGGAGAACTTAAGGGAGAAAGGCATTTTTCCAGGGGCTCAAAAACGTGCATGGAAGTTACCAAGAAGTCCAGCAACTCCATCTATGTCTATAGACTTCAGAAACATTTGTAAGTTACCTTTTATGCAGATAGGCTGTTTCCCTGACCACTCTCCATTCTGCTGGCAAGTTCTCTTCTCATTCCCACTGAGAACATATGAGTTATTACAAAAGAAGGACACAACGGTGCCAATTTTTGCATAGCGCCCATTGATAAACTCAGGACCTCCAGTTATTTTCCTGTAGCCATTGACCGGGCCCCCAGGGTCTGAGCAATTTCTCTCTTCAAGGACTAAAAGTGAAAATAAAAGAAAAGGAGAGCTGTTATAAGTCTAAGTCATTCCATTTTTTTAAAAAGAATCTTTTCAGGTTTCATTGAATTAAAAACGCAGTGATATAGAGCTTGCTAACAACAGTGGTGCTCAAAGGAATTACCAAGAGAAATTTCATAATAGAAAATGGATGTATTAGACATGTCTTCTCTTTGTTTTAATAATTTGTTCTTAAGTTGATAAATATTTCATTCTATATATAAATAAATTTGACACCAAATCTGGCACTCATAAGATCTTGTTTATTTCCTCCTCGAACTGTGGGAGCTGGGCAGGCCTGGACAAAATAAATATTTCATCTAGATTTTACAATCAGTTTACAAGGGTTACTGTTTTTCAGTGTGGTTGTATTATGCCCTTTGTTCCCTAAAGGTTGGGCAACTAAACTAGACTATTCCATTTCCTATTTGTATTGTACCCAGAAATTAGAACTGATTAGAGAGAGAAGTGCATAAATAAAGTGAATTTAGATTTGATATTTCATCTCCAGAAACATAAGTGTGTTGGAAGTTATAGTTAAAAAATACTCGAGGGCAATATAATTGCAGAGATACAAGAAATTTCCCTTGATCTCCAAATATACTTTTTCTCTTTTTTTTTTGACCGGTAAGGGGATTGTAACCCTTGGCTTGGTGTCGTCTGCACCACGCTCAGCCAATGAGCGCACCGGCCATCCCTATATAGGATCCGAACCCGCGGCCTTGGCGCTACCAGCGCTGCACTCTCCCGAGTGAGCCACGGGGCCGGCCCCAAATATACTTTTTCATCTAAACACATAATGTTCATTACAAAGGTATTTCTATTCTTTAACTCTTGTCAGACAGCTATTTAAAGTAGAAATGGCATCACCAGCTATTCTGAGCACTGAACAGGATTTTAGTTCTATTCTGGAAATATTCTATCAGATAGGTAACATTTTTCTCAAACAGATTATGACACAGAACTGCACATGACTTGCCTAAGGAAACAAAACGAGTCTGCCAAAGAATTCAACCTTTAATTACTGAATTTGGGTACCAATCACTCTGTCAGCCTCTCTGGTTTCTTAACCATTTCTTCTTCTTTTTCTTCTTTTTTTCTTTTTTCGGCAGCTGGCCAGCACAAGCATCCAAACCCTTGATCTTGGTGTTATCAGCACTGCGCTCTAACTGACTGAGCTAACCGGCCAGTCCTTTTAATCATTTCTTCTAAGACACGGGTTTATCCCTAAAAAACATTCCCTGTGTAATGCAGTTATGCATTTGACATGCTTTTCTTCTCATAACTGTTGCAATTACCTTCCAAGCAACTTACTTGCTTGCCTCCAAGCAAGAAAGGAATCTCCATTCAGATAACACCTCTAAAAGATTTGAAAATCAAAAGTAAATTAATAACTTTCCTATGTAAAACTTGGCAAGATTACTACAATTAGCGAAATTACTAGTCTGTCTACTGTAAGACCATTCATAGACTGTGTGGCAGATAATTTCAATGATACTCTGTGTGCTTTGGGGCTATGTAATGTGAGCAATTTCTCTGGTAGGCAAATACAAAACCCCACTTTTAAATGCAAAAAAAAAGGGACCTTACTGAGCAAGCTGTTTAAAAATACTGAGATGAAATAGGGAGGGCAATGCATTTTTTGAGATTTCAGTGGACTTAAAAAACCCTAGAGCTTATATTTTCAGGAATGCCTCTATGATGTGGGTGGAAGAGGCAAAGAAAGTGGCACTTGCTGCTTCAGTGATGGGGCTACCTTCTTGTAGTACAGACTCATTTGATTCTGAACATGTAGCCCAAAGGGCACCCATTGAGGCCCACAGAATGTAATCATCTCAAAAACGTGGTGTGTTATACCTACAAGTTTAAAAAAAAAAAGAAATTAATTGCCAACATAAAAACTGGGAGATTTTGGATAAAAATATGTATTGTTGGCTTCTAATACAATTCAGATCTGGAACCGCAGAGCCTGTGTTCGCACATGGCAACAGTCAACTGGAGTGGAAAAGTGGCTCTCTGCTTAGAAGGGGGCTATGTTTTTTACCTGACTACAGCCCCCATCAGGTGCATGGCTCTGGCAGGCATTTGACTCTGTGACCAGTTAGACTATCAAAGGGTTTGTGTAACTGATTTGTGTAATTCAAGTGTTCAATCCACATCCATTTTGAGCTTTGCTAGAGCTCATGGCAAGGAAAGATTGGGTGATATTAAAGACCAGTCCTGGAGTACTGAGAAAAAATGAACTATATTCTAGTCACATTAGTCTTAGCAGAAGATAAGAAATCCTTTCTACTGTTAACTTTGATGGGTAAACCTGATAGACTTTTCTCCTTTGGAAGGAGATGTTTCCATGGTTCAATAGACTCCCACCCCATGGTCTGCCATGTGCAGGGTTCTCATGAATCACATTTCTACTATATTTAATGTGGGTGTAACAGGCAGGAACTTTGGAGAGTTCTTGAGCCCTTCAATGTGACAAAGATTTAAGACAATTTAGGTCCTTTGTTTCTCTCACTGAGGACGCTTGAAAAGCAGTCTTAGAGAGAAACTGACTCAGGATATACAAATGCCTCTGCCCAAGGCTGAGGAATACTGCTATCCATAATTCTTAGAGGTGTACTCCTTTATAATCTGATGTTTCTGAATTTAGGTAACGTGTAGTTCTCATATAGTATTTTCCTAATCCTGACCCCAGAAAAGCTATAATTAAATCAGTGGTGTAACTGAAATTTGATAAGATCTTAGAATGGAGAACTATGAGAATTATTATTTGGTTTTAAGATATTGTTTATGGAATGTTAGCAGGACAGAACGGAGTGATGCTTCTGAGTTAGGATCCGATGGAAGGTAAAATGGACTGAATATTTGTGCCCCGCCCCCCAATTCATATGCTGAAATCCCCTAATCCACTGTAGTGGATTGCATTATGTCCCTCCCCAAACTCCCCGAAGCTTGAATTTTATCCCCCAAGTTCTATATATTAGAAACTTAGCCCCACTGTGACTGTTAAGAGGGTGGGAAATCCTATTATGGTAACTGGAAGGTGGAGCCTTAAAGAGGTGATTGGATTGTAGGACCATGCAGTAGTGAATGGATTAAAAATGGTGGTCAGGGGCATGATTCTGAGGGCTTTAAAAGAAGAGGAGAGTCTGTCTTTCTCCCTCTGTCTGCTTCCACCATCTTGCAATGTGAGACCACTGGGTCACTGTCACCACCACCAGATTGACTTTGGACTTCCCAGCCTCAGAAACTGCAAGCAATAAATTTTGGTTTTCTTTATAAATTACCTAGTTCCAAGAATTTTGTTATAAGCAACAAAAATGGACTAATACACCCCCAATATCATAGTATTAGGAAGTGTGGACTTTGGAAGGTGATTAGGTCATAAGGGTAGAGCCCTCATGAATGGGATTGTGCCCTAGTAAAAGGGAATCCAGAAAGCTCTCTCACCCTCCTTTCCCCATGTGAGGATATAGCAAGAAGACAGCAATTTATAAACCTAAAAGCAGGCCCTCACCAGACTACAAATCTTCTGGCACCTTGATCTTGGACATCCAATCCTCCAGAACTATGAGAAATAAATGTTTGTAGTTTAAGTCACCAAGTCTACAGTGTTCTGTTGTAGTAGTCCCAACAGACTAAGGCAAGACTGTATGGTTGAAAATCAAGGGAAATACAGGCAAAGAGAAACGGATTTATAAAAGATCCAGAAAATGTAGTTATCTGACATTACTTAAAAATAATTGTGCTATATATGTTCAAGGAAATAAAAGACAAGATTGAGAACTTCAGCAGAAAACGGAAAACCTTGAAAAATAACCAAAGAAAAAAATGTAGAGCTGAAAAGTACAGTGACAGAAATTTAAAACTCAGTGGATGGATTTAATAGCAAATCAGATAGAGCTGAAGAATATTAACAAATTGAAAGATAGCTTAAAAGAAAAAAATTTAGAATGAAGCAAAAAGAGAAAAAAGGTGGAAAATGTACAGGAAAATGTTAAAGACAAGGGGATACAATGAGAAGGTTAATAAATACATAAATTGGCATTCCAGAAGGAGAGGAGAGAGAGAATGGAGCAGAAATAATATGTAAAGATATAATACCTGAAATTTTCCTATACTGATGAAAGACATCAACCTACAAATTCACAAAGTCCCAAACTAGATAGATATGAAGAAAACCACACATTGACTTATTTTAAAGCAGCCAAAGTAGCGGGGAAGGGGGTGACTAGAAGAACATACTTTAAAATAATTATACTTTAAAATAATTACAGTCATCATATCTGGCTTGTAATATTGAGAATGATTTTTGCTTCTTTATAGTAGTTTTTCAAGTTTTATAATTAGAAAATATAACCATAAAAGTTTTTTATTTATTATTTTTGTTGTTTCTGTTATCATTATTTTTTGAGTATCAGGAAAAATGGCTTGGGTCCTTCCTGCTAAGCATCTAAATTTAGCATTCCGTCTTCCATGCCTTTTTATATGCATTCTCATAGACTCTCACCCATGCAAATTCCTTTAATATCTTGAATAATCAAGAAGTAATACAATTTTCCATGAAGTCATTTAAATAAGTCTAGTCACTAGACTCTGGTGGAAAAAGAATGCCCTCCAGGATCAGATAGATAACGGATATTACAAATAATTACTTGATTCCCCTGTGTCCAGAACAAGCACACAGGAGGTGTTCAATAAATATATGTTGGTGAGTGGAAGGAAAAAAGGGTAAAATTTATTCATTCTTCCATTTGATTAACTAAGGCCTGGGAAAATTACTTAATCTCTCCAAGACTGGCTTTTCTCATCTGTAGAACAGGATAACAGCACTTATAAGGCTGGGCTGGTTTTGAGGAGTAATCAAAATAACACAAAGTTTCCTCTTTCCTTGTTTGCCCTTTTTTTTTTTTTTTTTCCCTTTTTTGTCTTTTTTACTGACCGGTAACGGGATCGCAACCCTCGGTGTCACGCCCGTACCGGGGACCAGCAACGGGATCGCAACCCTCAGTGTTGCGCCC